CCTCTATTCCACGTGAAAATATTGTTAATTCGCCTAAAATTGACATAAACATAAGGTTTGAATATCTATCTTGAACATACATCATTCGATAAAAGTCCATCTGAAGAATTTTTCTCTTGATAATGCACGCAGCAAGATGACTCTGGACGTTTGCGAATAACTTTCTTGAATGAATATCACATCGGCAAGAAAAATCAAAACCATAGAATTGAAGTCATGGGTATAGTTGACAAGGTCTTTTTTTGTTTTTCTTTTGGTAGAAACCTAAGTAGCTGTTTCATGAAGTGCTCATTTTGTTCTATTGTTGTATTAAGTGGCGAAGATTGGGACATAGTAAAATTAGAATATATTCTGTAGTGAATATAAATTTGTGTAACATGTAGAAATTATGTATCATTTCCGTCCAGATCTGTATTGAAAAAATAAATATATACTCCCTATCTTTTTGCCTATTACATTATATCATAGATACACAATTTGCTTTGAAAACCATTGTAAACCTACAAATCTGCACAAACATTTGAATTTCTAAAATTGACATGTGGCATAATTTCATTCAATATTTATCACATTGTCACAATTGATTTTTTTTCATTATTAATGCTATTGTTATTATTACTTGGAGATTTCTTTTTCATTTACAAAAAACTCATTGGTTATTATTAAAATCGATATCTCAATATCACTTACTAGCCGCTAAAACTATTATTGTGTTTGTTTTGTGTTTATCTCCTAATTTTTTGTCACTATTTTGAGTGATATGCTTGTCTTGCAATCTCTTCTTTCTTTACATCCCAATATTCACATTGGAAATGAACAATACAACAGAATAGAGAGAGATAGTGATAGAAAAGAGACAAAAACATACATGTTCTTTAATCGATAGGTTTCGTTATTAACTTCAATCATAGATATATCTTTGATTCGCTTAGTCTTTGTAATTATCATTTAATATATTGACTTCGATAAGCTTGATTGGATAGCATCAATTATTGAAATCGTATGAAGTTGTTGTGCCTATAAGATAAAAATACAATGTTAAATATAAGAAATAAATTTTAAGACTAGCTATCTACGATTGATTTATCGCTTTGAATACGTACTTGAATCTGTGCATTGTTCTATAACAACTCTTGCATTTTGATAACTTTCTCTGTCAGACTATAATGGCGACAGACGTTCCGTAGAAGCTCACGATTGGCCGGATCATACACCTTGCATAAGTCGATGAAACATATGTGCAGTGGTTTGTTGTACTCACGCAATTTCTGCCTGGTCATTTTCAATGTGAATATGTGATCAATGGCCGCCCTGTTTGGTCGAAAATCTCACCTGCTTATTGTTCAAAAAGTTGTTTGTTGCACAGTAATTTGATCCGATTCAAGATGATCGGCAAGCAGATTTTCTGTTCGTCATTAGTAATGAAATATTACAATAACTGTTGCATACTTATTTATCACCTTTGCTCTTGTATACACAGATTTGTATCACCAATATTTAGTCTTCTACCACTAGTTCTTCCGCTTATATACCGCTAATTATGTCATGCAACCATTTCGTTGTTGCCTTTTCTCTAGCTTTGAGAATTTCTACTGTTATATCATCTTTGCGTGGCACTCGACGATTTTTTATTTGTCTGATAGTATCAGCAATTTCTTTTAAGTTCGGTATTTTTTTCTTGTCGTGTCTTTTCGATTGGATAGATGTCCAATATTGAGATTTGTTTGATAAGCACTGAATCTACATTGATTGGCATTGCATAGTTCACAAAAGTATTGACATCATTGATTTAATAGTTCTGTTGATGTTCTCAAAAGATGACCATTTTTGTCTTTATGCTTGGAAAACGTATTTGTGATAATAAGATCGTTTAACAAGTAGAAATCGACAAGTCATGATCCATTTTCGTTTTGATCATCCATCGTATATGGACTGATAGGTCTATCCATCCTATTTTTTGTGCCTGAACTCTTGCATTGAAATGATTAATGATCAGAAGAATACTATTGTTTGATGTCTCATGCGCGATTTGCAGCAGATCGTCATAAAAATTATCGGCTGTTTCAGCTTCGTGTTTTTGATCACATGAACGATTCATCAGCACATATATTGTGATGATTATAAAGTTCATAGATTTGCGTTGTTTTTATTCCTAGATATGTCTTGTATATAGGAATAAAGCGGTTCAATGCAACATTAAATTCTCCAGTTGATAGACGTATTTAGATCCATCGGATATGTATGAATGATAAAAAACTGTCACGAGATGGAATAATGGAAGGTGATCCTGACTTGGTTTTGTGATATACGGTAATGGCTTTATCGCACACGAAATGTGTAATTTTAGATTTGTTGATCTTTTGATTGTCTTTAAAGATGTGTCGAGTGCTTTGTAACTGAGAACAGTATTTTGGTATTGTATGAATGGATTGCGCCATGTCGCGCTTGTTTTGCTATTTATTGATTAATTATATCTTGTATTTTGTTGGCCTTCGTGGCAGTTTTACATGGATGGATTTCTATAAGAACATTTATATGTATCTCTTTTCCTATCACACGTCTTCAATAAATTTTCATAAAAATAAATATTCTTGATATTTATACTTTAAATTAATCATTGAATTTATGATCTTAAATTCTATATCCGAAATACGGCTTCAAATGAGATGAGATGACAAAATCATCCAATTGGACCCATTGGTTTATTTTATCCTATCATATTACATGGGTTCTAAGAGACAATATATCTAGTATAAAGATTTTCCAAACCTTGAATTGATTTCCATAACTTTCATATTCAATCATCCCAGTGTCATTCTAGTTCTTCATGTTTAAGTTAATTAATTTCACATGGTAATTTTTATATCATTGACATAGATTCTACTTGTCTCTTCAGAGACAAAATTATGAATCTGCGATATGAGGATCTCGTTGAACTTCAACGAATATTATAGTGAATGCATCGAAATTCATTGAGATATGTTTGAATTTATTGGACTCCGTCAGAATTCAGAATCTACTTTTGCTCTTAAAATATATCAACACTACATCTCTAACGAGGGAACTACCCGAGGTGCTAAAAACCTTTTCGGTCGAGAATGTGATGGTTAGATAGGGCACAGTTAGGAGTGATATACCCTGAGTTAGTTCGTCCCCAAGTTGCTTCTAGCAGAAGTTATGAATTTTTCAACTTATGAGCAAAATGTGCATTTTTGTCTCCAAATCTTACGAAGGAAGTACCCAAACTGATTAACCGTTTTTGAGTTCGAACTTTGTGCATA